AAAATATAACCCATAAAACATTAATCAAAATTATATATCACGAAGACTACAACTATAAGAAGATTGCTAACATTACATAGATTTGCACATTTAACAAATGGAAAGTCAGAAATAATAACGTATAACCCACAAACAATACGAAACTTAATAACCGAGATTGTATGTAAAGTAGAACCCCCGTAGGGCGGGCCGGCCCTAGTATTATATAAAGAAGAGTTTTCCTATCTTCTAGGAGTGCCACGTCATAAAATAGTGAAAGGAAAATATGACACGTGGCAATTCATCAAACAGGGTTTCTTGAGGTTGTGCAAGAAAAACCTGCATGAGGAATCATTGTGTCGATCTTCGTTAGCATCTGTTCGTCTAACATTCTTCTCCTTTAATACGTTATGTATTCATCCATCCATCGCCATTAAGAACCATCCTTAATCCTTTGACCACTATCTATCTTTCAATGCTTCTTATTCTCTCTCAGTCGGTGTTTATCCACCTATTAAAAGGGCCAGTCCTTCACTCATGAAAATCATCCTCTCAATTCTTAAACCAGTCGATACTTATTTTTCATTTTAACATCCATCATTCTCGCTGATTTGAAAGGGCTGATTTGAAATGTGAACGGGGTTCTTCCACCGTCTAGGTGTGACTTTTCATCAGTGGTATTGCTAAGGTATTCAGTTCATAAAACTCATAATCATCTTTGTTTCCTCTATCGCATATAATTTATAAGTTATATATAGAGAAATTTTGTGTAGATCCTCAGGGGTTAACCATATAAAGTGTTGTTAGGTACTTAAGCATGAAATAGTCTATAAAACTTTACTTACACTTTTTCTGGATTTGAGGTCTTTTTGCTGATGTGGTAGAAAACATAATCTGTTTGGTTCTAATATGGTTCGTATGTAAATGAAGTTTCATATAATCTCTGACGAAATGTTTCATGAAATACTGGTTTTGAGCTACTTTTCTGATCGTTTTTATCACCGAAGTAACTAAAGAGCAATGGATTTAGGTTAAGCATTTTTTAACAGGTCTTTAGTTTGTCTTTTCACTGCAATTGGATTTTTTGAGTTGTGACTAAGTAGTGTGTATATTCTCATCGCCAAAGTTGATTCTTTGTTTGCCCCTGCTGTACCTTGAAGATAAATTATGTCGTCATACTAAAAAAAAGCTTTAACCGTAGTTTAATCATCTTGTAAGTCTCTATTTTATAAAGAAAATTTTTCTTCTCTTCTAAAAGTGCCACGTCATTAAATAGTAAAGGGATAAGATGATGACACATGGCAATTCATCAAACTGAGTTTCTTGAGATTGTGTAAGAAGAATTTGCCTGAGAAATCACTGTGTCGATCTTTGTTAGTGTCTTTGCATCTACCAATCTTCGCCTCCAATACATTATAGATTCATCTATTCATCGCCATTAAGAACCATCCTTACTCCTTCGACCACTGTCAATCATTCAGTGCTTCTTATCATAACCAGTTACTTACTATCATATAGCTAAGTAAAACAGATAAAAAGATGTAACAATTGCATTTTCAAAGATTTTTAAGTGATGAGATATTTATCTCATAATAATAACAAAACAAATAATTAAAGTTAATACTATTTTAATTGGTAAAAACTTATAATTCCAAATTTTCAATACAATTAAGATATTTTAATATTATTGTTTCATTCACTCGTCCACCCGTAGGATGAGTTACACTTTGTTATCACATATAATAGGTATGATCTTCTTCTTTTTGACATCGAACAGCCATTCTATTACTCAAACTTGAGGTGGTCTGGGTAACCAGACCGGAATAGATAGTTATGATCATTATATAAATGGGAAAATTACTTATAAATCTAAATTATACACAAATGGCCAAAAGTCTTAATTACTACTTTTTCGATCATGCAGTCTTAATTACTTCAATAAACATATATCACCAAGTTAGTAGATAATATGTCGGGTTTCATTTATGAATATAACTAGATTTTGACATGTGTTTTGCGGTAATATTTTATGATAAAAATTTCACTAATAATTAAAAAATTATTTTGTTAATTTAAAGAAAATATTTTTACATTTAAATCATTATTTTTAAATTTGACCCAAACCCGCAGTTTAACTAGTTAATTCAGTGATCTGATAATTTGATTTAGATGTTTATAAATATCCATATTTAAAAAGTCACTAAACATTGAGACCAACCTATTGAACTGATGGATAACTGATATATAATATGTAAACCTGTAAAATGAAGTTCTATTTACTTTTTTATTTTACAAATTATTTAAAATTATTTAATTTATCTAAATAATTTAAAAAAAAATTATTAGAAATTATTAAAAATATGAGAGCTAATATTTTGTATTGTTTGGACACAATATTAATTATGATGTTGTTTGAAAATTTAGGTAGTAGTATAAAGAAAAAAAAATATTGTTCGAAAACATAGATAGTGGTATAAAGATAAATATTAGTTATTTAATGTAAATTTAACTGTACAATAAAAATATGTTTTTAATTTAAAAACTTTCAAAATAAATGTTAGGTCGGACGTCTTGTGTTTACTTTAATAGATTATACAACATAAAACTAAACTCTACTAAAAATAACTGGTGCAGCTAATTTTGTTTTGATATAGTTTAAAAAAACAATAAAAGTATAAAACATTATTTGAAAGTTTTAACGGCTATAGATAACAATTAGAGTTGTAAAATAGTTCTATAGTATAACCAATCACAGACTTATATTGACTTGATTAACGGAGTCTAGTTAGTTTTGTCGTTACATAGATAGACAAAGTCAACTGATTTTGTTTTAACGGCTAATTTTGTTTTGACAAAGTGGTTGTTCAAAAAAAAAAAAAAGATAGACAAAGTCAACTGATTTTAAAGTTAAATGAAGCTGACTTCCCTGCAGCTGTTCTTAAAAATATCCATTCCTACTATATCTTTCCATGATAAAGAGAATTTTAAAGCAGAAATCGATTTAAGGGTAAAATGTGTTTGACAAAACAAAAGAGAAAGAGAGAATTGGAGAAGTATCTGTGTTAGGAAATATTAATTTGGTTTAGGTTAACTGCAAGATTAGACATAATTCTCGTAAACAATTTAAACCACACAACTAATTTACGTTAGTCAATGCAAATAAGAGATTTAACAGAGTACAGTACATTAAAATGTGTTAAAAAAAACATAATAATCTCTATAATATTATTTGAGGAGTCACTTTCTTAGGTGTCGTGCTCACGTTAACTCTCACGTTGGTTGATTACTATGATACCCCTAATGAATTAAAAATACAATTAAATATTTTTTCCTTTTTGAAAATTTCCAAATAACAATATAAAATAAAAACGAAACATTTATAAAATTTAAAAAACTATTTAAAAACGAAAATATAAGTATATATAATATGGTTTAATAAAAAAAGGAAAGTTCACAAAATAGTAATAATTAATTTAAATATATTTTAAATAACATAAAATATAACTTTGAAGTAATAAAATACTTTATACCTATATCTTCTTAAATAAAAAAAAAAAGAATATCTGTATATAATGAGATTTCATAAAACAAATTCACACAAAAATTATTGCTATTAGAAAAAGAAATATTTTTTCCTTAAAAAATAATTTTAAGCAATATATTTTCAAAATAAATATTTTTTGTATATATCTATCTATTTTATTAGATGATTACATAAAATAATCAACTAACATAAACTGATATATGTTTAACTGAATTTTTTTTATAATTAGTATTATAGAAATTATTTTTTTAGTATATTTATTTGACTATAATATCTTACAATTACAGTAAAAATATAAATTATATTTTACTTATATAGTATAATTTCTCAAAAACAATCACTTTTTACTGACTATTTTAAGAGATACTAAAAATAAAACTAAAAATAAATTTAATGATAAACATATTTTGATCAAGTAACTACAATTATTTTAAAATATCATAATACTATATAATTTAACGAGGTAAATATATTATATTTTAAAAGTTAAAATAATCTGTTCTAAGAATAAGGATTCTGATTTACTTAAGTATTTTGATTATGGTTATATTAAGTTTCACAAACATAAAACAGAAAATAACTACAATTATTTTAAAATACCATAACACTATATAATTTAACGAGGTAGATGTATTATATTTTAATAGTTAAAGTTATCTGTTTTCTTAATAAATCTTTTGATTTTTAATTTTTTGTTATTATGTTTGTGAAACTTAATATAACCATAGTCAAATACGTAAGCAAATCAGAATCCTTATTTTTAAAATTATTTAAAATAAATTTCAGTTTACCATCCAAACAATCTAAAGCATAAATTTATTTAGAATTTATAAAAATATTTTAACTATTGTAAATATTGGTATGTGTTCAAAATCTTCTAAAAATTCATTAGTTACTTATGTATGTAATTTAGAATCAGAAACTTTAGTTTTTATTTTTTTTCCTTCTAAGCACAAAAAAATCTTAAGTTATATATAATCTTACTAGATATACTTATATTTCTAAGATAACAACTAGCATAAATGCAAATAAGACAATTAATCAAAAATTTAATATATTTAAAATATAAAAGATAATAGTTGAATTCAATATATCTAAATGATAACTAAATCGACCGTAAAAACAATAAAACAGACTAAATATAACATATCTAAAATTATATATATAATTAAAGTAATATAATATTATAATATAAATTAGACATACAAACTATAAATTAATTTAAAAATTAAAATAAATATCAATCAGTTATTATTCTATATTTATTTTATAAATATACATACTCCTGCATGAGCACGGAAAATCACCTAGTAAATAAAATAACTTGATGATTAAGTTTTTATCATCTGTTTAGAGTCCATGATTTTTAGGCAATTTCCATAATAAAACATTTGATATGAAAAATGTAATAGCCACACAAAAAAAGAACTAAGAAAGCGCCATATCTGCTTCTTCTTCGACCCTCCTTGTTAAAGTCTCTCTTCCTTTCCTCCGTTTCTCCACTATTTTCGTCCCACCACTAACCATTCACTTAAACAGGAACCCATCTCCCGACCAACTCTTTAGTTCAAACCACCACCTTTTTTTCCGACCAAATCAAAACAGATGGCAGACGACAGAAACGGCGGTAATAACAACAGCAACGTAGACCCATTACTCCAATACATGACTATCCCAAGAATGAGAGAACCGCCTCCGATCCTCTTCCGCGTACCAGAAGACGGCGAAGTCGCGATTCCCATGCCGATGACACCTAAAGAGTTCAAAGATCGTTTAATCTTCGGACCCTTCTCCCGCTCCCCTCGAGACTCCTCCTCTCAGTACTTTGACTCCCTCTCTCAGAAACACTCTCCTCCTTCTTCTTCTTCCTCCTCCACCGCCACCGCCGCCGCCGCTGAAGCCTTCTCCGACACCTCAACCGCCGACCCTCTCCTCCCAGAACCGGAGCCATGGTCTCACGGCCACGCGCTCCACCGCTCCAAAACCGCTCCAGCGATGGCAGTAATCAACGATTATCACCACCCAATGCCTCATCAAAAGGATCTCGAATCATCACGCTCCATCGTGAGACAAGCCTTTGCTCTTCTCGTTGTGTACCTCTCCTTAGGTGTGCTTATCTACTGGCTGAACCGTGATAACTACGTTGTGAATCAGACACATCCCGTCGTTGATGGCTTATACTTTTGTATTGTTACGATGTGTACCATCGGTTATGGAGACATAACACCGAATAGTGTTGTTACTAAGCTGTTCTCGATAATGTTTGTGCTTGTTGGGTTTGGTTTTATTGATATTTTACTTAGTGGGATGGTTTCTTACGTTCTTGACCTTCAAGAGAGCTATATGTTAGACTCTGCTAAGCGGAGAGACGAGCCTGATAAGAGAAAGAGAAGATCGTATATAATCGATGTAAAGAAAGGGAGGATGAGGATTAGGTTGAAAGTGGGTTTGGCGTTAGGTGTTGTGGTTTTGTGTATTGCTGTAGGTGTTGGGATTATGCATTTTATTGAAGGGATTGATTGGTTGGATTCGTTTTATCTCTCGGTTATGTCGGTTACTACTGTTGGGTATGGAGACAGGGCGTTTAAGACGTTGCCTGGTAGGCTTTTTGCTGCGGTGTGGCTGCTTGTGTCTACGTTAGCAGTGGCTCGGGCTTTTCTGTATTTGGCTGAGGCAAGAGTGGATAAGAGGAATAGAGAAAGGGCCAAGAAAGTGCTGTGTGAGGCAATGTCTGTCTCTCAGTTCTTTGCTGCTGATATTGATAACAATGGCTGTGTGAGGTATTTGATACCTATCCATTTTATATGCTTTGACACAGTCTGTTAGGTTTTAATTAGATTTTGGAATTAATTGTGTGATCACTGAAAACCAAAATATTCCCAGTTCATCCGTTATTAGATTCTTGAAGATGTTAGATTCCTGAATTATTCCATCTTCAGCACTTCTTTTCTTGAATCTCTTTTTTTAGTGTTGGAACGTTAACTATGTTCTTATGCTTAGTTTGAAGATCTGTCATTGTGCCAGAACATGTTTATTTTGTCATTGTGGTCTTGTAGATTATGATTTTGTGTATGAATGACTGGGAAAGGGAGGCCTTATCACATTAATGGGTTCAAGACATGAAAAATGCTTTGCTTTGCTTTGCTTGCTACCTAGCTCTAATCTGAGTAATCCTCTTCTTCTTCATTTCTTGTGTGTGCGTGTGTTTGCAGTAAAGCGGAGTATGTGATTTACAAACTGAAGGAGATGGAGAAAATAACGGATAAAGATATAACACCCATCTCCAGACAGTTTGACAAACTCGACCGATGCAGCAATGGAAAGATTACTCTTGTTGATCTCTTGGATAGTAGCAGTGGAGATTGATCATCATGCAACTTTTTTTTTTTTTTTAGCTTAGTTTACAGTAGTTGTAGATTACAAACCTGATTGATGAGTAGTGCGGTCTCTGGTTCACTTAAACTTGATTTGGACATATCTTAATTATATTGGTAATTGGTCTAAGCCTTGGGAGCCAGGATTCACTCTTCAAAATGTATATAAATCTGAATACTTAATGGTCTGATCGAACTTTCTTGGTTCGATACATATAACACTTCCACGCTTCTCTTCCATCTGCTAGCTATTCAAAGAGAGGCTACAACCTCTTGACCGCCTATCTGATGTAATAAATACTTAAGCATGGGATGCAAAAATTGGAATAATGAAATACGTTTCTACAATGATATTTTACTAGTAGTATACGGTCATAGATTTTGGAGTGTTTTAGATAGAATCTTACGATGTGACAAACAATCAATCAAACACAATAAATGTAAACATTTCCAGATTTTCGAGTTTTCACTAGCTAATGTTCCTTAGTGAGAGAATATAAACTTACCAAATGTTGCTGATGTGTTACAAAAATGTTAAGTTAGACTACAATACATGTATATATAAGTATAAAGTTGTACACAAGAAAAAGAAGAAGAAAAAAGTTTATCAAGAATACAGAGTGTTGGTGTGGTGAAGAAGATGGACGTTGTTAGTTTGTCAGCAGCCATCGGTTTGATGTTGGGTCTTGGATCTTGCTTCGTACTTTTATGATAGTTGTATGGCCTTATCTACAGTAAGTGTCGTCCCGGTGGCCGGTTCTGATTCTAATGTGTAACTATTATCATGTTAAGGCCGGTCCAACTTTAAAAAAAAAATTGTAATGCCCTACTCTAAACTACAAATTTATGCCCTTATTTTTCATAATTTTTTTTATAGTGCCCTGTATACTTATAAAATTGTTGTATAAAATTGGGATGCCCTAAGCGACCGGTTCTTTAGCCTATGCCCCGGACCGGGCGGTTCAGATAGGGTATTTCGGTATTTCCATGGTGTATTTCTACCTATTGCATTAGATTTATATGACTCCAGTTAGTTGCTCAAAAAAAAAAAATATGACTCCAGTTAGTGTTACGTATTACTACATAATCCCAATATCAGAGAAATAGCAGAACAAACACTGTATTTTGTCATTCATACGCTCAGAGCATCAAATAATTCACACCAGAAGTGTGATATTATAGTGACATAAAGCTCACAAGAACTACAATGAAATATACAAGAAAAATAGTTTGTTCATGCAGAAAATTGAGACAAGAAAACATGACAACATACAGAGGGAAAAAGGGTATTAATTCCCCAAATATTTGAAATTGGCAATTTTAATACTCAAGTCTTGCTCGTGCAGAATTATTCTCGAACTAATATTTGACTTTGCGAAATTATGAACTAAATAGTCAATCGTTATCTAGTTAACAGAAAGTTATCTAGTTAACGGAAAGATAACGGTTTCCGTCAGTTTTGTAACGGTTGACAATTCGAATCATAATTTTGTGCAGTCAATGATTAGTTGAGAAATAAATATGCGCATATAATACTTGATTATTTAATTAGCCGATTGAAAGTACTTGAGGAATTAAAACATGAATATCTTTTTTCAAAAAAAAAATAATTTATAAGATTTTCAAGTCAGATACAATCAATATACAAGATTTTATTTTTTGAAAGAGATTTTTGAGCTTTTACAATGGCATGTAAAATAATACAAACAGTTATAGTTGCATTGTATTGCTGGTGAATTTCATGTTTATAAAACTGAAATCCTATATAAAACTAGATTCAATATAAAACTGAAATAATTCTTTTTTAAAACACCAATTTTTAAAAAAAAATAATAATCAAATCAAATTTAACTAAAGTAAATAAAAAATTAAAAACCATCATTAATAATGCCTCTTAAAAAATTTAACTCAGCTGGGTTTTATTGATTGTTTTGCGCCTAAATCTATTGATAAATGGAATCTCTGATTTTCTACTCATATAAATTTCGGATCCTATAAGTGCTTTTGTTCTTTTTTTTAAATCGTTCACTGCAAGGCAACTAAATTTGCTCTTTTAAAAATTGTCAATGAAATCTATGATTTCAACTCATATAAAAATCAGATCCTTCTAATCATGTTTGCTTCATTTTCTTAACATCATAGTAAGATTTAACTATTTAATCAAATAACGACTCCACAACAGCTAAACTAATCAAACAATTATCGTATAAATCTGAACCTTAAACATAAACTCATCATCCCGCTCCAATGCATCAAACGTAACGGTAACATACCAAGTCACCGTATCTCTAATTTCAAAACTCTAGTAGATATTTCTTAAACACCAAATGGACGATTAGGGTTAATTATGGACACCCTGGATGGTGAATGGGAGTTCAGAAGATATCCAATGGCCAGTAATGCTTACTACTGCAAATTAACTATATCAGGAATATCATAGTCATTGAGTGGTTAGGTAAGAATAGACCCAACCTTCATACCCCTATCACAACTTGCACAGTTCAATCCACATTCAGTCCACATAATTGACGTCGACATTGCTACAACAAACCTCCATTCTGAGAAGAGAGCGTCATCACTAATGGAAGAAGGTGAACTGTGCACGGTATGCATGGAGAAAATTATAACAGGTCATTCTATAAATGAACTGCAATGTTACCATATATATCATCACCAATGCATTGTTGACTGGATCCGAATGAACATCAAATGTCCAACATGCCGGGCCACGATATCGTAGACAACATGTTTCCATACTATAATAATATATTTGTCACTATAATAATATAGTTTTATTTCATCAGTAAGTTTCTTAAAAAATTAACACCTATGTCATAATGTATTAAGTATGAGTAAATGGTCTTAAAATTTGATCTTCATATTACTTAAACTAAATTAATTAATAAAATATGTAATAACTCCTAAATCATTTTAGTTAATACATTATTTTTAATCAAACCAAATTATGACATTAATCTTTTTGTTTATAAAAAAATAATCAGTTAGTGAAAACATTTAATATATAGGGCCTACAATAAATAATTTCACAAGATAATAAATAAAAATCATTAGAACAAAAACAAAAAAAGGCATTCCACGCTTTAATCTTTCTTCGTTTCTTTATTTATATTATTATAAAATTTAGTCAATCATAATGACTTTAATTCTAAATATCTTAGCATATATATAAAAAGAGTGCACGTAAATAAAGATTCAAAAAATATAACCAACTTTTTTAATTTAAAACAAATACCAGTCGAAAAATTTAATTAAAACCCTGCGTAAATTGCATAATTATATTATCTAACACCACATATTTACAGCCCAAAACTATTTACACAAAATTTATTTTAAAAAAATATCTAACGCAATCTTTATTAATCCAAAATATTACAAACCGCAAAAAAATCACATGATATGAGATAAACTTTATTTTAAAGGAAACAACACGAAAACTATATCAATGTAGCAAATTTTTAATATGGAAACAACTATTGTAAAAAAAAAATCTTATCATATATAATCTTTTATTTTGATACATATGTCTTGAAAATGCAAACCTCAAATACAAACAATAAAATCATACCAAAAATGAAAATCTATATCATAAATATAGTATATTCCGCCCGTAGGACGGACCGGTCCTAGTATGTAAATATATAGTGCTTAAACTAGTTTGGGAAGGAGTCCTCAGAGCACCACATTAGAAGGTTTTCATGGATTTTTTTTTTAATATTATATAACAAAATAATTGATTAGGTAACTCAAGCTTGAAAAACTCAATCCAATAATATCCAAAATGAGAAATTTTTATTAGGTTGGATTTCTCAAATTTGAAATACTCATTTTGTATTACATTATTATTTATTATAATATAATTCTATGGGTCTACGAAATATCTTAGTGCTGTTTTATTGATCATAATGGCTCATTTTAAATTCTTAAAAGATTAAATACTTAGTAAAATTTTAATAAAGGGTTCATGATTAACTAAAACTAACTCACATACAACAAAAGAAAACTAAAAAACATATGTATGTTTTAAAGTCTTCTAAATTTCCCAATGAAAAAAATCAACTGGTTCAACTTACAGATATGCTACAAAAAAAGTTAAGAAAAATATTTAGAAAAATGTCCATATTCAATGTTTTTTTAAAGAAAATTGTTGGAGAAATCTACACCAATAAAATTGGTTAGAAGCAAAACCATAATATAGACGATAGTTGTTGAAGCATATTACTTGCTTGGAGTACGAGTTAACAACTCGACTGCTATGTAGCTGCTTTACCAGAAACAAAAGCAACAATATTAACAAGTGATGCCATGAATGATATTTTTATAAACAAATTTCTAAGTTCGTCTACTTCAGTTTTGATATGTGTCTTCACAATAGCTAATTTCCTCTTACTCAAACATATATATATATATATATCATAAACTGTACATCTATACAATACATTAATTAATAGACTATGTTAATTATAAACCAAACATAGGTTCACCATCAAAAGTTTCTACAAATTTCATGAAAAATGGTATCCTAATGCTACATACATTAATCCCAATATCAGATACTTAAATATTTTTTAAATAAAACAAAAAATTTGCAAACAAATTACACGTGAATAGTACAAATGACAAACAATCCGCGTGTAGCGCGGGAATACCCCTAGTTTATTATGTAATAATGCGATAATACTCTTTGATGCAAACGGTGAAACCTAGTGCTACATACATATTAAAATAATTATTTAGTAAATATAATTAACTAGATCGTGGCTTACTTTTATTCACATATTATTTTTTGGAGCAGTTTCTTCTCCTGAGAACCTCTTGACAGTGACGGTGGTAATGACGATTGTGATGACAACGATGAAGATTTGGAGGATGAGGCGAGCGACCAGACTTGTGTAGTGGAGATCACCTCCATCTACACAATTGGCACCACAATCACAATCGATTATTTCAACTTTACCACTGTATTCGTCTCTGCCGCAGTTCTCCTTCTTCTCCTCTAATTTCTACGATCATATGTTCTTCTCTTCCACCTTATGTATCAACAAAAAAGTTCTTCTCTCTTATACGGTTACATGTTCTATCTCCACTTATGTCACCATATTCACTTATCTTTTGTCGTTGTGAAAGACCCAAAATTGATCAAAGAAGATTAACAGTTTTTGTGAAATTGTGTTATATTCTATTATATGTATACAGAATAGAAAGTAAAAAAAAATAT